ATAATAATAATAATAATAATAATAATAATAATAATAATAATAAACATTAATTACCTCGAGAATTTCATTGCAAATCTTGGCCTCCTTACAACATAAAGTAGAAAATTAAAACTTATCACACCTAATCTATAATTCAGTAAATGTTGTTTTCTGTTCTGTTATAGTTTGCTACCTTATTTTCTAGAAGAGCAATAACCAAACTCGTGAAAACCTGCAAACAACGAATTCAAATTGCAGCTTCCTCACACGAAATCAATAAACAACGAAGAAGAGGTGAGCGTTTTATAAATCAACGATCTGGCTTGCTAGCATTTGAAAGTAGCGTGCAGAGTATTTATTTATTGTGAAACTTCTACATTTCAGCTGCATGTTGTTTTAATTGTCGGAAATAAGCTAATTTATTTCAATACTATACAATATCGGATTTAATTTTATCTCGCATTTGCAGATTAGCTAAGAAGTTAATATCTTCGAGGAAAATAACATTGTAAATATCAAAACAGCAAGAACTAGTATTAACGGTTTTATTCATGTACATCATAAAAATTTGTCTCTCAAAGCCTAGTGTAGTACACGTAATCAGCAATCATGCCTGAAAGGCGACCGTCGTCACGAGGTGTTTGAAACCTATTTTTTGATAGCCGTCATGTTTGTAGGTTTATGCAAATTTGGCTCTCAAAATTGATTTTGTTGCAAATTATTGAACGAGAGATTCTTCAACGACTGTTTGCTTTTCAATGCTTACCTCTGGCGAACCGCACGGCTAATTTGTATAATAACACGAGAACCGTAATGATGGCTACAAATTCTGGAAATTTGGTGTTCATTTTATAAACAACCCTGTAAGAGCTAAGCAATACAAGCAACTAACCGTGTATGCCATGATCAAAAGATGGCCCCGTATCGATTGAGAGTGTCGGTCCGAAATTATTAGTCCAGTTAAAGTCATCGTGGTAATAATTTTGTGACCAGCCAGTGCACAATCCATCGTCAAAGGTGCAGCCTATAGAATATACAATTCACAGCTTTTACACAGCTATCTTAAAAAGATGTAAAGCTATGGAATTAGTCAAGACTGGAACTGCGAAGAACTAAAGAGATAGTATGGTCAGTAATCAGGGCATCGATAAAAATTGCAAAACAAGTATTTTGAAGACGCAGAGATTCGATTCCTCGCATAGTGTCTTTCACTTCTGTTATTTTGCTGTTGGTCATTCATTTTTGGTTTGCTTTCTTTTAGAGTTTTAAGGATTTACAAACTTAATGACAGTGGTCTGTTTACCTTAACGATCACCATTATTTGCGCTCAATTAACGTTTTTACGATAACTGCGCATGCAGAAAGTCTCGCGCGCTCATTGGCTAATTTTCACTGTCAATAAGCGGGCAGACACATGAATTTATAATTTATGCGATGCGCCAACGAGCGAGAGCGGACAATTTGACAATTTTGTTATTGTAAAAAGCAAATTGACGTCAGTTTTACAAACGTCAGTCCTGTTACTGATCATGAATTTCGTCATAACATCATAACACCTGCCCCGTAAGAAGAAAGATTACCCAACTTTAGTCACAGCGTAAGCAGTACTGAACCTTATGTACCAAATAAAGGGAGCAAATAAGAAAGGATAAAGAGTACTTAAAACGCTAATCAACCAATTAGACCCCATTCTCAAGATAGTCCATCTCAAGGGTTCATGTAGTATCCAGTCCTCCCACGGATAATGTTACCACGTGAGTTGAGGAAGAGATGAGGTGGAGAACCCACGCAAAGCCAGTTGGGTTGTCCACGTCAGTAGAATTTGCGTCAAATAATTGGCTACAGTTAGACTCTCCTGGGTTTCTAAAGCTGGGACTGAGTGATCGAGGCATTACTTTAGGTATAAGATCTATATTTAGGATCAACTCCCTTCATCCTCTCTCGCTACTGACAAAATAATATCACATACACTTATGACAATGAAAATATACTCACAATGCTCTGCTTTGGTCAACTGGACACAGGTGAGTAAAACTATCGAAGAAAAAAGAAAACGTATAAAATAAAAATAACCAAACTGTCGCTGTTAATCATTGTGCTTTCACTCCAGCAAACAATTTAATTTTAGGCTTCATCCAGCAATTAACATTTCGGTTAAAGTTTTCAAATTTTTACGACTTTGATATTTGAAATATCTCAAAGAGCCTGATACGGTTTTTTTTTCCTGTGAGACTTTCNGCCGACCGACTTATAACGTAGACGCTATGACAGACGGACTGCAAATCTATGTCAGTGCATAAGTGATTCCGTTATCCAACATAAATCGATTGGATGTATAGGCTTCAGTGAAAGCTACGTGTGAAGTGTCAATGATAGCATGCCAATTATAAAAGTGTCAATAAATGCGTATATTACATACATATTTACAAATTGTTATTTGTTTCCCGAAAATCGAAAACGGAAGAAGTTTTACTTTTGAATTTACTTATCAACTTTATAGATGAGAATACTATTCTTCTTTCTGTCGCAGCTGTTTAACACAGTAATTGCCGTTAGTTCTGTTCCCTTATAAATGAACCTTTTTTTTTTTTTTTTACCAATATTTCAAACCCAAAAGACATAAGCTTTAAAAGATCGATGTAAACCACGAAACTTGCAAGGATACAGTAAGATGCCAGATGATGTCGTTTGGAGCGAGTATCCTGCCATATTTGCATATGACAATTTACCAAACTACAAATCAAGTTTTACAACTGAAGTCTAAAAGTCTTGCTAGAAATCTGCCGTGGTTTTTAGCAATAGGGAAGAATGCAGAGGATACCAGGAGTTATATTTTCTACTTTTAAGGCAGAAATGTGCAAGCATAAATCAAACTTCATGATCAACTCAAAATGTTGGTCCACAAGAGGCATCTTGTGGAAGGTGCTCCGTCATTGTTCACTGCTTGTGAAAGAGGAGCACATTTACATATAAACGCTCTAATGACACCTTGCTAACTTTTAATTTATGGAAACACCATAAAACCTACCTGTTGTAAAAAGCCATACAGTGAAAAGGCAAAGCTGTTTCTCCAATGTCATAACGGAAAACATTTAGATGTACTGCTGCGTCAAAGGTCTTGAAGCAATGGAAAACCTCGAAGGAACGTCATTGGAATCGCAGCACGTACAAGACAATAGAAATATACAAAGGAATCAATGAAGGTCGACGGCGATAATTTTGGAGAGTTCGGTTGTGCAATTAGGCTCACAAGCCTGATGCAAATATGACACTACAAAAACAAATAAACATCTTATGCACAGTGCACCATTTAACTATAAAGTGTTTCCACATAACGTCACGGTAGCAAAACAATGAAACGGTGGCATTGTTTGTGTCCCGAAC